GCTGCTAGTTCAGTTAGGTGGCATGATTTCTTGTGGCTCAGGGCTAGGGACCCCAAAAGGCATTAATTGGCAATGAAGCAGATAGCATGTTACTTTACAGATAGCTTGTAGTAATTCATAGCATTGTTCAGAAGCATTAGATTTATTAAGCTTTCTTTGAATTGAAAATGGTGTATTTGTTCTCTGCTTATTCCAGTAAACCAGATCCTTCTGTTTGAGTCCATATTCCTCTGCTCTTCTGACTTCTGTGGCACTGGATACAGGGGTTGCCTTTGGGTCAGGATGTGTTGGTTACTTTCTGTGAGCTGCAGAGAGATGTGGATGAACAGCACCAGACAGTGACATTGTCTGGGGCAGTATATGCTCAGCACTTCCCTCAGGAGTATTAAAACTTACCTTCTAAAGTCTCTGTACTCTAGAGTACTATACAATCAGTTGGTAAAACATGAGTTTGAGTGAAAATGCCAGTGTGTTTAAAAGTGGCAGCTGATTTTTTTTCTCTTTCTACTGCTTTATAGTACTCAAGCAAAATTCCTGTTAAATGCTCTGTTAAGAAAGGGTTTGGATCATTCTGTTACAGTCTGGTATCTACCACAGTTTAGGTTTTGTGTAGTTGCTTTTGGTTCCTGCAAAGGTAGCAGCTTTGTTGGCATTTTGCGTGGGGGAGAAAGAAAAGCAAACAATTAAACCAAACCTCACTTTTGTTTGCAGCTTAAACAGAAGTAGAGTGCTTTGTGACAATTTTATTTTTAAAGCTCTTTATGAAGTTATATGTCAGCAGAGTATTTAACAGATTAAGGTTTTGGATTTGGTTGGGGTTTTTTTTTTGGTTTTTTTTTGTTTGTTTGTTTGTTTTTTGTTTGTTTGTTTGTTTGTTTTTTTTTTTTTTGTTTTTTTTTTTTTTTTTTTTTATTCTCCATAAAATAAAATCTTAACAACAAGATATTTTTCCTTTGGTGACCTTGCCATGCTAGGATTGCTGGTTTGTTGCTTCAGCTATTGTACTCTAGTTTCTTTGTAAATACTTTTCTATTGGGGTTGCTATTTATTCACTGCTTAAGTTAAATTTCTGCTGTACCAAATCCTGGTTTAGTCTAAAAAAAGTCCTATAAAAAATAAAACATATGGCAAATAACAACAAGATATTTTTCCTTTGGTGACCTTGCCATGCTAGGATTGCTGGTTTGTTGCTTCAGCTATTGTACTCTAGTTTCTTTGTAAATACTTTTCTATTGGGGTTGCTATTTATTCACTGCTTAAGTTAAATTTCTGCTGTACCAAATCCTGGTTTAGTCTAAAAAAAGTCCTATAAAAAATAAAACATATGGCAAATTATTGCCATTTACAGAAGGCTTTCAGGTCTTTATGGCTGTGACCACTGATTTCCTACAAAACCCTTCCCGTGAAGTGTGTTTATGCATGTGTTTTGTGGGCATTGCATGGCCTTTGGTTGAGCTGTGTTTCACAGACCAGCTGAGGGATTGTACAGGTTGTTAACAACAGACTCCTCTCTGCTGGGAAGGGTATGCTAATGCAGTGATAACTAGCAGAAGTCACATCTGAAGTGAAAGCTAAGATGGAAGAGAGTATTTAGCTTAATAAAATTGCAGTAAAGCAATTGCTCTAATCACTTAAATTTGAGAGGAAAACAGCTTTTTCAGGCTTGATGTTTAAGAAAAGCATTCATCAAGAATTCTTAAGGGCTTTGCTTTGAAAGTTAACAACCATGAATGGATAAAATTATCAGTGTATTTTTTCCAAGAATAAGAAAGAGGAGTGAAAAAAGTGGAAAAATAACACGCACACTTTCTAAGGTTGAGATCACCAGTTAAAACCAACCTTGCAAAAAGGCATGATGAACAAAATGGTTGACATAAAAACAATTGTTGCAGCTGAGAATGAATTACCCTTCTTGACTGAAGCTAAACAAACCATCCTTTTCAGTCTAGAGAAGCCCTGCATTCAGGCTGGCTAAACAGTATGGTTGTGATTACACTTGTCTGTTAACTTAAGGATGTACACACGATGATTTTGTAATGTATTTTTAGGACTTTTACATGTCTCTAACTGTAGATTATGCAAAATGAAAGCAAAGGGTGTGCTGTAAGCTCGTTTGCTGGAGAAAGCACAAGGTAACAGAAGGTGGAGCTGACTTGACTTATGTCAGAGAGTGTCAAGGAACTGATTGCTGTCAGTAACCATAAATAGAATTGTTTTCAGGGTTAAAGATACTGTGTTGACTCAGAGCTCAGAGAATATATGACACTGGATAGAGTGTCTTTTTATTTCGTGCTGTCAAGGGACCAAACATAATTTATCTTCCAGTTAGAGAAAGAGACCAAATGACTGGCAAACTTTGCAAAGTCTAGTAAACCTTAAATTAAATCTCTAAGCTATGTTTTGGCTTCCTCAGCACAGCCAACCATGCGTGTGAATTACATCCTTGGTCTTTGTTTTGGGATGGGATTTGTAACAGCAAATAAATTCTTTCAGGCTTGCATTCCCACAGCTGAATGTCTGAAAGATAATATTTCTTCATAAATGTAAAATTCATGTTTTTATGCAAACTGTGAACATCTTATATTGTGACAGCTGATTTTTCAGCTTCCCTGTAAGCACCTTCCTATAGTAGGCTGTTGTTTTTTATGACATGGAGCATGTGCTCCAAATCTTGCATGTTTTGGGTAGTGGGGAGGGATGCTGTGAGTCTGGAACATTTACTCATCTGTAGAAAATTATCTTGAATCAGGATTGTGTGTGTGATGTGAACACAAGTCAGACATCTAGTCAGTCACCTGGACACAGGTGCCGTTGCCCAGGGTCTCGCTGTGCGGCAGGGGATGCGACGAGGTACCCGGGGCAGTCCTGCTCTCCAGCACCTAGGGGGTTTGTTTCCCTTAGTATGTGGAGAAGAAGCAGTTTAAATAGCATCATTCAAAAATGTGGAAGTTCTCCAGTGTGTCTTTTACCTTCCCAGTAACTAATTCTGAATATCAGTCAGGCTTGAGTTTTGTCTCCCTACATTGTAATGGCTTTGAGACTTGTGGTGTGAGAAGTTTCCTCCAGGGCTCTTGGGCTGACTGGAATGTAGCTGCAGGTTAAAGCTGGCTGCCATACCAGCCTCGAGGCAAGTACACATCCAAGCAAGGACTGAAGTAGGCTATGAAGAGCTCAGTGTAATCTTGTTATAATAAGCAACAACAAAACATGTGAGGGAGGAGAAGATCAAGGGAAATGGAAGGTCATCTTCACTTCCCATAAAAGCATTTGCTTGTGTGCACTTAATGAACTTTTCCACCTGGTGCAGAAATACCAAATGTGTTGATGTCAGTATTACCCTATTCATACTCCTGTGGTTTGGTGGACTTTAGATTGTTGTTTTCTGTTTTTCTCAAAAGAGGAAACTTTCCTCTTTTTTTCTGAATTTTAACCTCCCCTATACCTGCTTCAGGTGACAACCAACATCCAAAAAAGAGCAATAGCTATTTATGGCACCATTCAAGTAAAAAACCTGGAAATAGTATTGGTGTCTTGCTCTGTGCAATAGATGTGATTGTACCCTTCCAACAGCCTGGCCATACACTGATGGTGCACTCAATCCCCTCATCTAAATCATCAATAAAGATATTAAAGAGCACTGGGCCCAGCACTGACCCCTGGGGAACACCACTAGTGAGCGGCTGCCGACTGGATGTGGCACCGTTCACACCACTCTCTGGGTCATCAGCCAGTTCTTCACCCAGCACCGAGTGCCCTGTGGCTGCAGCTTTTTCAGGAGTGTCATTTTCCAGTAGCATTACCTGCCTTTTACAGACTTTGGGTCTGCCTCAGCCATGGAGTGTTAGCTTTTGAAAGCGACTCAGCACCAAGGGACAGCCTTAATTTCTTCACCTTTGTAGGTTTAAGACAGACTCCAATCAGATGTCTGTGTTGATGAAGCACTAAGTACAGCATTTAATAAGGTGCTGAATATAATGGCTACATACGCTACATAATTTAAGTTCCAACTGTACGTGCATCTCATTTACCACCCCAGTGAAGGGTGTAGTGGTATTGAAAACAGGAACAGCTCAGCACTTCCACAGTGTGTTTATGGGAGGTGCATTTAATGAGTCTGTTTGTAATTCTTATGAAAGGATCCTGACTGATCAAATCACAGTACCTAAAGGTTAAGGTTACCTGTAAAATGAGTCTTTTCCTTACAAGTCTGGATATCATGCCCGGAGTAAGGAAGTATCTGATGCTAAATGTGTTGTCTGGGACTGAAGACCTGCCAATTCTTAGGACAGAAGGTGGAAATTTTGCAGGAAAACTTGCAATACTTTAGGAGCCACAGTGAAGAAAATTTTGTTAGCAAATTGCAGGTACATGCCTTTTAACCTTAGTGCAGCCACTTTACTATTTGGTACAGGGAGAAATTCTTCTAAAGGTACAGTGCGAAATCTGCACTCGCTCTAGTTACAGCTGAATTATCAAGTGCAGAAATAGGAATAAACGGGTTTTTTTACTTGAAATTGGTCACTGGAGGCCAGTTCTACACTTGCAAAGGGTTATCAGACCTTTGAGTTCTTGTCTAGAGATTATTCTCAAGGCAAATATTTTATTGCATGGATGTCCTTTCAGAACATCCAGTGGTGTGTTGCAGACTTGAATGCCTTAAGCATTACTCAGCGAAGGAGTGCTAACAAACATTTTGAGGCAGATCTTATTCATCTAAGTAAGAACTGTTTTTTAGAGGTTGTAACATCTGTCCTTCCTTTTTGTCAGACATTGTTTGGTTTTGCTAAGTTTCAGACACAGTGCAAGTCTACTTTGTTATGCTCTACTGCCTTTAACTGCAGAATTCTGACAGTCCTCACTACTATGTCAAGAACAAGCTTAGCAGTGGTTAACAGTGTTGCTCAGGGCTTGCAGGATCCAGCATTGTATAGGAGTGGCTCATTTGAGGAACGATGATTCTATGAAAGCCTTAAGAGAATTTTTGTTCTCGTCCTTTGTAGTGGCCAGTTTGCTATAGTGAGGAAATGTCGAGAAAAAAGCACCGGTGTGGAGTATGCTGCCAAGTTCATTAAGAAGCGTCCGAGTCGTGCCAGCCGCCGTGGCGTGAGCCGGGACGAGATTGAACGGGAGGTCACGATTCTGCAGCAGGTCCTGCACGCCAACATTGTCAAGTTACATGACATCTACGAGAACAAGACGGACGTGGTCCTCATCCTTGAGCTGTGAGTAAGGGAACTTCCCTCCAGGGGTAGGGGAGGTAAATAGAAACCCAAAAGGCCTGCAGAGGGGACATAGAGGCTCTAGGATTCTCAGGCCTCACAAATCTTGGCAGGAGCACTGAATGAGGTTGCTGGTAAACAGGCCCCCCAGTTCATCCGTGTTCCCTGGGGATACAGGTGCACCTTAACATCAGCTGAGGTCATTTGTTACTGAGCTGGGCAGTGCTGTCAACTTGAAAACAGTTTACTAACAGGGGGATTACCTCATGTCTGCCTAGTGCTGCCCTGACAGGAACTTTGGAGGAAGTATAAATGGCCACTGAATGGCCACATCTGAGGCCATCAAGTCTTTTGCAGAATTTGCAGCCATTCTCACTCTCCCATATTTTCCTCATTTAGATGAGCTAAGGGAAAAGAGGAGAGGAGGGCAAAGGAAGAGGTCCTTTTTAATCCCTAGGCTTTGACTATTGAGGATGAATAGCTGCAGGATAGGAGTGAAGGAAAGCTGCTTACACTTCTGTTGTGCCACCATGAGGGAGGCAAACACCTGCCATTTAGGTCCTGCTGAGGAGTGAACCTCCTAACCAAGTGATCTGGGGACATCTGTAGCCTCACCCCTGCATTGTGACCCATCAAGACCCAATGAGAGAGAGCCAGGCTGCTGATTTAGGATGGCTGTCTATCAGATATATTTGGCAAACTGGTTTGTGCTGTATAAGAACAGATTTAAAACCCACTAGCAGCAGCTTCTCTGCCAAGTCAGAGGGAACAGTGCCTTTCGGCATGTTGTTCTTGTTTGCTGGTCCTTGCAGGTTTTGCAGCTGCTCACAATAGTTTGCTCTTAAAGATGCAGATCGGGGAATCAGCGTCTTGTCACCACCAGTGATTGCGTAGGAGCCTGGGGTCAGAGGGTGATTCCCAAAAGACTTCTGCAGTGCACAGTGTGATCTAACTGGGCTGGGAGCCACAGCCCTTAGGGAACTCCAAGCATTTGAACCTGACAGTGCTTTGGCAGGTAGTTCACCAGGAAACAGGACCAAGAGCTTCTTTTCCAAAATGACTGTTGGATGTCTCAAGTCCTGTGCTTGCTCTCCGAGTTGTGAGCACAGGTGGGTGGTACACCTGCATCCAAGAGCAACAACTATTTTGTGGGTATCCCCAACAGTGAACTTGAATGAGAATAAACCAATAATATTGACAGTGTGAACTGGAAACAATAAATTTAAACATAATTATGAATAGCAGTTGAAAACAATACCCAATTCAATATCTAGATCATCTTGTTTCGTAATAGATAGGAAAATAGCCCAGAACTCTCAGTACAAAGCACAGAAATGAAAGTAAAAGTCTTATGTACTAAATCGGGATAGAACGTATTTCAGTTTTGCTGCCTGCTACAACCTGCTTTATGCTTAAAAATTCAGCACCAAATAAATGCTTTCCTGTCAGTTATATTAGGCAAGAATCTGTATTGGAACAGGGGAATGACTGTTATGGAAAGAAAAGAGGTTGTGTTGGCAGGCTTACTGCCTCATCATTCTGATAGCAACTGCTAGAGAAGTAATTCTTTAGCAGCTGTTGATTCTTACAACTTGCTCATCCAAAATAAAAATGTTGAAAAACAACAGTTGAAGTGACTAAGTGTACCTACTGAAATATGTACGTGTCTGTGGATTCTTCAAACAATGTAAGGTTTTTGATCCTTTAAAATCCTTTATGAATCAAACCTTGCAGCATCAATGGAAAAACTAGTCCTTAATTTGCAGGAGAGAGACCTTAAGTCAAAAATAGGTTTTGGCACACCTGGATCATGGCACAAAACTCATGATTGCCTGCAAGAGTGACCTTTTTCTAACAGTGTTGTGGTTCTTTGCTGCTTTAGTTTTCTGTTCTTACATTTATGTTATGTACTACAGTGCAGTGTTTTCTGGTGTGTTTTGCAGGGTTTCTGGAGGAGAACTTTTTGACTTCCTGGCACAGAAGGAGTCTTTGAGTGAAGAGGAAGCAACCAGATTCATAAAGCAGATTTTGGATGGTGTGAATTACCTTCACTCTAAGAAAATTGCTCACTTTGATTTAAAGGTAAAGGTGCTGATTTAGACTTTAGCTGATCTCTAGCTACTATTTGGGCACAATTAGAGCTAAATCCAATTGGGATTGGTCACTGGTGCTGTTCCCTGGGGCTCAGCATTGGGGCCAGTCCTGTTTAACATCTTTATTGATGATCTAGATGTGAGGATTGAGTGCACCCTCAGTACATTTGCAGATGACAGTAAGTTGGGTGGGAGTGTGGATCTGCTTGAGGGTAGGAAAGCTCTACAGAGAGACCTGGACAGACTCATCAGTGGGCTGAGGACAACTGCATGAGGATCAATAAGGCTCAGTGCTGGTCCTGCTCTTGGGACACAACAGCCCCAAGCAGCTCCAGGCTGGGGGAGGAGTGGTTTGAGTGCTGTTTTTCAGAAAGGGACTTGGCAGTGCTGGTGGCACAGCTCAGTGGGAGCCAACAGTGAGCAGAGGTGGCCAAGGAGGCCAAGAGCATTTTGGCCTGGATCAAGAATAGTGTGGCAGCAGGACTAGGGCAGTGATCGTGCCCCTGAACTCAGCACTAGGGAGGTCACAGCTCAGTACTGTCTTCAGTTTTGGGCCCCTCACTTTAAAAAGGACATTGAGGCACTGGAGTGAGTCCAGCCAAGGGCAACCAGGCTCATAAAAGGTCTTGAAAACATGTTGTATGGGCTGAGGGAGTTGGGTTTGTTCAGCCTGGAGAAGAGGCTCAGG